TTTGCTTGCTTGCTTTCTTTCTTTCTTTCTTTCTTTCTTTCTTTCTTTCTTTCTTTCTTTCTTTCTTTCTCCTTTCCTTCTCTTTCTCTCCTTTCTTTCTCTCCTTTCTTCTTTCTTTCTTTCTCTCTTTCTTCCTTCCTTTCTTTCTTTTAAGAGAAGATCTTGCTATGTAGTCCTGATTGGCCTGATACTCAAAATGTAGATCTAGCTGGCCTCAAACTTGCAGCAATCTTCCTGCTTCTACTCCTGAGCGCTGGGATGACAGGTACATCACACCTGGGCTCTTCCAGTGATCCCAACTGCTAGACCTGGTTACCTTTGTGTCTCCTTTTACGACATGTGTGGAGGCAGGCCAATCAAGGGCCTTATTCTCTCCTGAGCAGGTCATCTAGCACTCATGGGTTTAAGGGGTGCAGCAGACTATATAGAATAGAGAGGATTTGACAAAGGTCAGAGGAGGATCTTCCCTGCTCTTGCATCTGGCCTGTGTGTGGGCAAGGCTTTAATGGAAGAGGATCTTGCAATCGCCATCTCTGCAGCCCCAACAGCAGGACCATATCTGGAATGGTTTTCAGGAACATTCTGTTTGCTTCTACGATGGCAGCAAAGGACTTACTGTGTCATCAACAAGGAAAAGAGCCCACAGAAAGCACCCGGATAAGCCTGCACCCCAGCTGCTTCTCAATCCATTTCAAGGACCAGCTCCTATCTGTAAGTTCAGAGCCACAGGACACTCCCCTATAGTCCACTGGGGGCCACTGAAGAAGGCAGAGTCATGGTCGGTGGTGAAGACTGTGCTCTGGCCCCTGTTGCTTGCTGGTGGCAGTTTCCTGAGACTGTAAAACATTCTCACTTCCAAGGTCCCCTTTCCTGTGCTTATGCAGAAGCCATGCCAGAGCACACAGCCCATTTCCCCAGACCCACTGTTCCAGGCCTGAGAGGAGGTTGGCTCCTGGGCTGCTGGAGGGTCAGAGGTCAGGGGTTGGGCTCCGGGGGCAGCTGGGCTGCATACAGGGCCAAAGTGTGGTGCAGGAACTGGTACTGTTCTGCTGTCTGGATCATGCCCCCTCTGTAAGCAGAGAGTCAAGAGTCAGAGTCAAGAACATCTGCCCTGTGCTGCAGTTCCTCATCCCCTCTCATTGTCCTGCTGGGAAAGCCCTGCCTCTCTCCTCCCTGTAGTCACTCATTCCCTTCCTACTCCCTTTTACTGCCCTCTGCCAGGACAGCCCCAAGGTGGGATGTGCAGCAGGTACTGCCCCATCTTGACTCTTGGTACTCTGTCTCTTATCCAGCCAGCTCTTGAGCAAAATCAGACCCATGCTCAACTCTTCCATTTGTCAGTAATCTTAAAAATAAAAACCGTTAGCCCCATGTGTGTGTAGAGCAGGTCCCATTTCTAAATCACTCAAGAAGCGAACCCATTTCTTCTTCCAGTTGGGAAACTAGACATTACCTCTCTATATTACCACAGGGCAGTGGTGGTGTGAGTTTGAGGTCGGCCTAGCCTACACAATGAGCTCCAGGATAGCCGGGAATACATAGACTCTGACTCAAAACAAAAAAACCAACCAAACAAAAAAGGTGTGTGTGTGGGGGGTGGTGGCAGCTACAGAATTATGGTAGAAGCTAGTAGCATACACCCCAGAATCTGAACTGGCTTCTCCCGCCTTCAAGCCTAGGGAATACCACTTGTTACCAGTAGCTACTTTGTATATAGAGCAAGTCATATCTTTTTTTTTTTTTTAAAGAAAAAAATCAAGACACTCCCTCTCTGTAGCCTCATTGGTCTTGAGCTAACTAAACAGGCTTTGGCCTCACATCCCCCTGCCTCAGCTTTTTGAGTTCTGGGATTACAGACATGCAGCATTGTACTGTCCTTGGCTTAACTTGTTCCCTAGTTTTCTCCTGAGTAGAGAATTTGGGGGCCAGGAGAGGTTGAGGGAAAATTCAGGATGACATATGTGATTCTAGGCCAAGCTAACATTTCAGACCATCTCTCATGTGGGCGTAATAATTGGCAAAATAGAAAGTTCTTTTGAATAAAACAAGTCCCTTGCTTTCTTCCAGGAGGACCTGCAGGTGATGTGCATAGTACCTCAGAACCACCAATGTCCTTGCAAATTAATGTAGCTGCACCTGCTTCCCATAGACCCACCTGTCTAGGCGAAGTTGGCACACGATGCCCAGAATGTCCACCTCGCCTCGAGTCTTCAGCTGTTGGCAGCCGATATGGGTGGCAATGAAGCAGCCTGTCCGGCCGATCCCTGCACTGGAAGTAACCAGAGAGAGGTTGGGGAGGTCATAGGAGACCAGGGAATGGGGGAGACAGGTGAGCATGGGAGCTTGGGGCTAGGCTTCAAGTGATGAAAGAAGAAACAGTATTAAAATGCTCAGTTTGTGGGGTGGGTCTGTCACATCTCCGATAGCAGTGTCCCTGGCATCCCTGATGGAGGCAGAAAATAGCTTGCCCGGGAGAAGTTTGTAAGCTTTGATTAGCCTCACTCTATGCCTAGCCCAGCTCACCATTAAATTAATTAAAATGGTTTTGTTTGTTTGTTTGTGTGTTTTGAGATAGGATTTCACATCTCTGGCTGTCCTGGAACTCACTGTGTAGAGCAGGCTGACCTTGAACTCAGAGATTCACCTGCCTCTGCCTCCCAAGTGCTGAGATTAAAGGCCTGCACCACTATGACTGATCCTAAGGACTTTAAAAATTAAATTAAAATTTTTTTTAAATAGATGCTTTTGGGCCCAGCTAGCCTGAAACTTGCTATATAGTCCAGTCTGGCCTTGAACTCTAATCCTTCGACCTCCCATGCCCAGATTTTAGTTTTGATTTTTTTTTTTCCTGAGATAGAGTTTCACTCTAAAGTCCATCAAAGCCCAAAACTTACTATATAGCTCAAACTCACTGTAATCCTCCTGCTTCAGCCTCCTGAGTCCTGGCTGTCCAGAGCAGCCAGAGTTACAGAAGGGTGTGCCACCATATCAAGTTTTTTTGTTTTTTTTGTTTTTTACATTTTTATTCACTTTAATCTCTCTGTGTGTGCATGTATGCACATACATCACTGTACCTATATAGAGCTCAGTAGAGACCACTTGTGAGTCAGTTCTGTCCATGTAGGGCCCAGAGATTGAACTCAGGCCGCCAGGCTTGGCTGTGAGTGCCTTTACCCATGGAGGCACCTTGGTGACCCCGATCTTTCTTTCCTTTTTGATAATAGGTTCTAGCCATGTAGCTTGGACTGGAGACTAGCAATCTTACTGCTTAGGTCATGAGTGTGCTCAGCTCCAGGGTGCACTGCCACGCCCTAGTCCAGTGCACATTGTGGTGACCATGTCTGTTTACAGCACCTGCCTGTGCACTGCTGTCCCCCTGAGCCGTTCCTTCTCTAACCACAACCTCCTCCCAGCTCCACGTCAGCTTCTACGGATGCTCCAGGGCCTCCATTTCCTCTTCTCAGCTCCATCATCTTCCCCACACCCCTCCTCTTCTTGCCCTTTCTGGATTTCAGCTTCCCGCTTAGGTCTTACATGTGTCTCCAGTAGGAGTTATATACTGGGGTGCATGGAAGCCACCAATGACACCTAGCACTTAAGCGTGTGTGCACCTCTGCATGGGTCCAGAAATGCCCCGTTTATACTGTTTGCTTCTACCTTCTCCTCCTCTTTCTCCTCTCCCTCCTCCTCTTCCTCCTCCTCTCTTCCCCCCTCAACAAAACATCATATAGGCCAGGCTGGCCTTGAACTCCCTCTGTACTTTAGATTGACTTTCAGCTCCTGATACTGGGGTCTCTACCTCCCAGGTGCTGGGGATACAGGAATATGCCACTGTGCCCAGCCCCAGGGATTGCTTTTAAACGGTAAATTTGGGGTGTTGGATTCAGCATTAAGAAAACCCAAAACAAAATGGCAAATCTAAGTGTCTTAGTCAATCCTGCAAGTCCCCATCATGAAGCCCTTAGATACCTTCCAGACTGTTTCCCATCAGTGTCCCCACATACAAGCCCCACTCACACAAGCCCCACCCACACAAAGCTCCACCCACATAAAGCTGCAGGCTCCCCCTGACCCTCCTGGCAGTGTATCTTCTTTTGTAGTTTTAAAGTTTATTTTCTGAGCATATAAGGTTCTCTGCAAATGTTTTCCTTTCCCCCATTCCTTGGCTTATTCCCCCTCAGGTATTTGGTGACCTGACCCTGTGGCTTCTGTGATATTCCATCCGGCTTTCATTGCACTGTAGCCTGATTGACTGTCTAATCTGCTGCCCCTCTGACCAGTCTATTAACCTGCAGCGGGGGTGGGGGGACTAAACTGTTTTGTTCACAGTTATCTTCTTAGTATTTAACATTGTGCCTGATGATAGCAATAATAGGTTTCCAATAAATCCATTACAGTTCATGCCTGTAATCTCAAACTGAGATTGAGAGATTGAGAAGCCGAGGCAGGAGGATTGCCATTGAGTTTGATGCTAACTTTGGGTACAAAGAAGAATCCTGTTTCGACAAAACAAAACAAAAACCGAACAACATAAAAAAATCCAGCAAAAACAAAAACAAACCCAAACACTAAAAGACTCCAAGAAAACAAAAAAGTTGTCCAGTGGATAAATGGGCAGCCCAACAGTGGGGGCCAAGTTTATCTCGTCTCTTCCTGACTAGAGCCCACAAGCCAGGGCTCTGTCTAGGTAAGAGTTGGGCCTGTCTGGTGTGGTGTGAGTTATATGCTTCCACACCAGAGACTTAGCGGGCAGGGAAGGCAAGCACTGGATCTGGGCTGGGACCCCAGAAGGCCCTACCTGCAGTGAACCACTATCGGCCCGGAGTTGGCAGCTGTCTTTGGGGTCTCTACCTCAGCCACCAGGCGCAGCAGGGGCCCGGCTGATTCTGGAGTCTGGTGATCTGGCCAGGCTGAGAAGAGGATGTGCTTCACTGACCGGCATTCCTGTTGGAGCTGGGATATGAGGGAACAGAAGCAGGATGTGGGTGTGGGTGCTAGCAATTGATCAGTCCGCTCGACACAGAGCAGGCAGGGCTGATTCTCCTGGCTGCTTTGCTATTCGGCCTCACCCAGGCTCAAGTCTTGGCTGTGCCTCTGTCTATTGAGGGACTGTGGATAAGTGCACTAATCTCATTTTCTTCCTTAGGAAGTGGGCACAGTGATATCTTTTTGTTTGCCTCCCAGGATGCTTGGGAGCAACGAATTGATACAGAAATCATTTGGAAGTGTAAGAATGGATACCTTAACAGAAAGTCCTTCCTTCCTTCCTTCCTTCCTTCCTTCCTTCCTTCCTTCCTTCCTCCCTCTTGTCCTCTCTCTCTTCTCTCTAGATAGGAATCTTGCTATGTTGTTCTGGTCAGTTCTCTTCTCCCATCATGTGAGTTCTGGGATCGAACTCAGGTCCTCAGGCTTGGCAGCAAGTGCCTTTGCCCACTGAGCCCTCTCTGTCCTCTAGAAAGCATTTTTAAAGTCCATACACATGTGCTGGCATATCTCTTTTGACCTCTCTTGACTCTTCCAGCATTCTCCAGGGTCTCTCTAGTCTCCTTTGGCCTAGATATCTAGCATGGGGAGAGGGTGCTTCCTGATGGTCCCTATTTTGTTAGTTGGCGCGTCCCTATTTAATTAGAAGTGTCCCTGAGGGTTGTACCCACCTCCTTCTCTCTGTGTGTCTGTCTGTGTCTCTGTCTGTCTCCCCCCTCCCCTCCCGCGTGCACAAGCATGTACTCTTTCTCACTCTCTAGCTTTTTTAGGTTTTCAAGACAAGGGTTCTCTGTGTAGCTCTGGCTGTCCTGGAACTGACTCTGTAGCTCAGGCTAGCCTCAAGCTTAGGGGTCCACCTGTCTCTGCCTCCCAAGAGCTGGGATTAAAAGCATGCATCACTATGTCCAGTTTTTTTCTTTTTTTCTTTTCATTTCTCTTTCTCTCTTTTTAAATGGAACCTCTTTTAAATGTGAGATCAAGGTTTAAATTAGTAAACTTGGTGAATTTAGTAAATTTCATGAAGGTGGAGCCTGAGTTTCAGTGGGTGGTCCAAACCTCCCATCGGTCTGTTCCAGGGGTGGTACCTGGATGGTGAGTTGCCTCACAGTGTATTCTGGGTGCTCTTCCATGTCCTGGATGCAGATCTGGAAGGGCCCGTAGGCTTCTTCATCTGTGGGCCAGTAGTGTACACATTTCTAGAAGGGAGGGAGCTGGGAGTCAGAGTGGGAGGGCACATCAGTGGCACAGGGCTGGGGCAGAGAGGCCTAGCATTCCCTCTTCATACCTCACCTCATGACCCAGGTCAGTGACCAGAGTCTAGCCTCCCAAGACTAGACTCAAGTGTGTAGTCAGCCCACCCACAGCTTCCCTGGGGTGTACTCCTGAGAGCTGTAGCCTAGGGCCTGTCAGGGCTGTCAGCTCCCACTGAGTCCTCAGGTCTGCTGCTCATGAGTGGTGTGACAGAGTAGGGTACAGACCCTTTCCGGATGACCCTGCCTCCTACCTCCTTGCCCTCTCGGAGCTGGGTGAGCATGACAATGAGGGATACGTCTTCTTGCCACACCATCTCCCAGAAGTCTGCTACAGTGTTGGGCATGGGGCCCTGGGTGGCAATGTAGACCTTCTCCTTCCCATCATAGCCCTGGGGAGACAAAGCACAGAAGGACGGAGATGCTATGAATCCACAGTCCACAGGTGCTGGGGTCAGGTTAGAGCCAGGGAACATAGACACATACACTCATGCCCAGACACACGTCGGAAGCCTCATGCTGGGGGAGGACATGGGACCCACGATGAGGAATGCCCTGAGTTTAAGTTCCTGCCCTTCTGTTTCCTAGCTAAGTGGTCAGAGGCGCATTCCTGACTCAGTTTCCCTGAGCTGTAGACTGTGTCTAGTAATTGTAATATAATGTAAATTAAAACCAATAAAATGCATTGGTGGTCTCTCACACAGCAGGCACCGAGTACGTGTTTGCTCCTGTCCTCTGCCGCTTTCTCTAGGGCAAGATATCATGACAGTGGCCTATCTGTCTGATTGCTTTGCTCTTCAGCTCCCAGACTGCTGTCCTACCACATTTGACCACAAGGGAGCACTGGTTTTCCATCCACCCACCAAACAAGGTAAGACGTTGGGATAGATGGTCCACCTTGCTTTGAGGTTGCTATTAGCTGGATATCAATCAGTCTCTACAAAGGAGGCAGTACTTGGTAGGGGTCGGGTGTCGGGGCAGAGACTGAGTGTGGGAAAGGAGATAGTAGGAGATAGAGAAATTCTCACCTGAGATGGCTGTGTACAGCTTGTAGAAGCCTTTAAGAAACTAGCGACTAGGCTCAGCCTTAAGGTCAACTTACTGCTAAGTTTAGAGGGTTGTCATGGGTAAGAAAACAGGGTAGGTTAAGGTGGATTGAAAATTTTGACATCTTTTCTAGACCGATTTCTTGGGTGTCACTCAGTATGTATCTCTTTCCCAGCTCCTCAAGTCTAGCAGAGGGAGCTATGGAAGGAGGGGCAAGTTGGAACAAAGAAGGAAGTTCAAGCCCTTGAGGCCAAGTCACAGATGGATCACAGAGGGTCTCATGCAGAATTTTCATCTTTAAAGCAATCTGCCCAGCGGCAGCAGCCGGCCACTTACCCGTATGTAGTTGGCATTGATGTAGTCGCTGTCCTCCTGGCTCTGGGCTCGGCCAAGACAGACGCGGCTCTGGGGATCTAGGAAGTGAAGATCAATAAGGGTGAAAGGTCAGAAGGTGACTAACAAATGGAGATTGTAGCAGAGTCAGAGGTGAGCGTGTCCTCACACTGTTCGCAATTCTTTGTGGACAGCAGATAGTCCCTTGTATTATTTTATAGACAGGTAACGTAACAGCTATGTATTATAAAATATACTAGTTCAGAGATTTTTTTTAAAGATTTATTTATTTATTTATATGTAAGTACACTGTAGCTATCTTCAGACACCCATATGAGGGCATCAGATCTCATTGCAGATGGTTGTGAGCCACCATGTGGTTGCTGGGATTTGAACTCATGACCTCTAGAAGAGCAGTCAGTGCTCTTAACCACTGAGTCATCTCACCAGCCCGAGATTTTTTTTTTTTTAAGACAGGGTTTCTCTGTACAGCCCAGGCTGTCCTGGAACTCACTCTGTAGACCAGGCTGGCCTTGAACTCAGAAATCTGCCTGCCTCGGCCTCCCAAGTGCTGGGATTAAAGGCGTGTGTCACCACTGCCTGGCTAAAATATACTATTTCATGACAACAGGAAGCCATGATGTTTTTGAGCTAGAAAGTGATGTAATCAAAGCAGAAAGCTGGACTGAATGATGCTGTGTAGCACAGACCACAGAGCTGCAGACACCAACTAGGATAGTATCATGTTTTAGCCTTGAGATCAGCGAGAGTATAAAATGGGAGAGAACTGATAGGAAGAGGAAGAGATTCTGCAAAGGAAAAATGTCTTTCTGATTATGAATACAAGTGTTAGATGAATACATTGTCTAAGATATCACTCAACCACAAGGGACCACACAAGAGGTGTGGGTCCTTCCCCAATCAAACCGGATGGGGGATGAAGAAGTTGGCTTCCCCTCTTTGATGGCTGTAGAGCTCACTAGAATTAGGCCAAGGCCAAATGCTGTCCAACTCAAGTCTTCACAGGACCTAGTCTATTCTAGCAGGCAGTAAGCCTGGAATCTCAGCACAGGGTAGGACCCATGTGCTGGGCTGAATTTGGACCACAGTTCTGGATACCACTGTATTAGGCTCCAGGCCTCAAGCCTGCCTATGAAAAGTTGGAGGTGCTAGGCCTGAGTCTGTGTGTGCATGTGAGTTCACAGCTGCCACACAGGCGTGCAGCCACAGCAAGCTTCTGCAAATGCTGTCTTGCAACTGGGCAATAGCTGTCTATCTCCTAGCTACCAGGGTGTGGTGTTAGTGTTTCTCTGTTGAAAGACAGTGTCTCAAGCATTGTTCTTCCTTGGTTTTGGAGAGGTGGTTTTTTGCTATTGTTTTGTTTTTGCCAAAGCCTCATATAAACCAAGCTAGCCTAGAACTTGCTATATAGCTGAAACCAGCCTTGAGTTCCTCATCCTCTATCCCAACCTCCAAGTGCTAGGATTATTACAGGAATACACCACTATGCCTGGCTTTGAGGTATATATCTTGCTTCATCAAGTTCTTCACCCTCAGGGACACTGTCCCCCTCATCCCCACGGTGCTCCTTACTTGGTAAGATGGTCTTGTATCGGTCTTTGGAAGCATGGCCAGGGATATCCAGGTCTTCAGGGTTGACAAAGTTTGAGGGGATCTTCTGATGGTGGGGGAGAAGTGAGTTAATCTCTGGCCCTCCTTCCCAGCCTCCTTTTCTCCCATTCCACTCTCTGCACACAGAGGAAGAGCAAGGATGGGGAGAACCTTCTCTCCTGTGCCCTGGAGTTCTTCCCTGAGGATCCCAAGGAGAAGAGAGGCCCAAGGAATCCAGGATGGTCTGATATGGAAGCGTAAAGTGATGTGGAAAGGATCCCAGATTCTTACCAAGAATTCCTCCTCCAGCTGCTTGGGGCTGGGAGGCTGGTGTTGTAGACTCCAGCGTGTAAGGGGGTGTCCAGCTGTCCGCAGGAAGTGTAGGGTGACTTCCCTGGGTGTGTTCACTGAGCAAATGGGTTCAACAGTGCCCAAAGACCGTACATCCAGCATCAGAGCCACGCTGGAGCCCCTTCTGCAAGCACAGCCAACCGGTGCCCTGTAAGCACCTCATAGCATCTGTCTTGGTTTCAGGCTCATTGTGGGGTTTGTCTGAGGGGGATATGCTGAGCCTTTCTCTTGACCCAGAGGCTCAGGGCACTCAAGGGTCAGGCCTCTACTATATTCCTCTTTTCCTTTATCAGATAAGAACAGAGCAGCCTGCAACCCTTTTGCTCCTTCCCGCTGTCTATCTCTCCTACTCCCAAGCCATCACAGAGGCTCCAACACACATCCAACTCCATGAAGGCTCCTAGATTTGTCCCAGAGATTGTTCATCACAACTTGAAACTTAGAGAGCAGACCCTCAGTCTGTTTGTTGCCTCAGACATACAAAGGATGGGCAAGCAACCTTCAAATGAGCATTATTTGTTTTTGGTTTTGTTTGTTTTTGTTTCTCCAGGACTTGTGGATTCTGTTGTTAGAGCTGGAAAGGAAGGAAGGGAAGGGAAGGCAGCCCAGGCCTAGGAAGATCCTCTCTGTGAAAGATCTCACCTCTCCTGCAGTCGCACATGCTTCTTGGCCGGAGCTTTGGTGGGTGGAGGCTGAGTCATGTCTGCCCCCAAAGACAAGGTCGGCAGCTGTGCTCTGGAGCGCCCCTCACAGGCCTGGACCATGCTGGGGTAGGTTGCTGGGCCCAAGGGAGGCTCACTCAGCCATGAGGCCTGCCTGAAAGACAAGGTCCCGGAGGCCTCACCAGCTAAAAGAAGGCTTCTAAGCCCAGGCCAGGCATCCCCTCAAGCAAGTGGCCTAACTTTTATCCCACAAGTACAGCAGCTCTTTGTTGGGACACAGGACAGGGACAAATTGGGGTTAGAATAGGAGGAAGATATATATAGAGAGTACAGGTATAGGTGAAGATAGGAAGGAATCCTGAAGGAGGAAGAGAGAGGATACCCAAGTCCACAGAGCTCTAAGCTGGAGTCCATATGAGGCCAACAGCCTGTTAACCACACACAAGGAAGGGGGAAAACACACATCTCTCTGAGTCTAGCCAGCAGGCTTCTCTATAATGAGAAACGGAGGCCTCGTGTAGCATTGGATCCAGTCGGGGATCCAGGCACGCTGTGCTTCTAGAAGGGTCTTCTCATTGTCAGCAGTTCTACTCCAAGATCTGTTGTGGCTCATGGGGTCTCTGTCCAGGGCGGTAGGCCAGGGGTGTTTCCTCCCTCCTCCTTCCCCATCCCCCAGTCTCCCGCCTCTGTAACCGTCACAGGAAATGGCCTCACCAAGCCCTATAGCGCCAGCGCATGGTGAGGCTACAGCTGGGGGTACAAGAGAGAGGGGGCATAGAGGTGATGAGGGCATCACCTTTTGGGGGCAGTCCCTGTCTCTCAGAGCTAAGTTATGGTTGCCATGGTGGTGGGGTTGGAGCTGCTAACCCACAGGGACAGAGGTTTGGGAACAGTGTGGGCCCATGCAGGTGTGGCTGGGACAGTACTCGCCCACAACAGGAAGGGGCCTTTAACCTCTCCTCTCCTGGTCCACTGTGTGGCTTCTTTGCCCTCCAGCCACAGGGACACCAGATATGTCACTTCTCATGCCCTGGCCAGGCATGGGAGCTCGAAACTCATGTTTTTTCACCCCATCCTTGGAGATCCCCCTCCCATCCCAGGGCCATAGGATGTTTGTGCCCATTTCAAGTACTTACTGAAGCAGCTATGTCCCCCAGGCTGCCTCTTGTCAGCTGTCAGTCCGTCTATCTTTGAGGACTGAGAGGCTTCAGGAAGCCAGCTTCCTCCCTCCGCCCCTCCTGGCCTCCACCCACGCACACCCAGCTGCGGGCTGCCCTTCTGTGCCTGCTGCAAGCTGCCACCAGGGGTCGGGTGCATCCTTCCTGTGCCCTCTAAGAGCAAGCTGGTGCTGTCCTGCCGTCCTCGCTGGGTGCCAAAGCTCTGGGAATGGACAAGGGAGATGAGGCCTTCCCTGACCACCTCAGGCCTCCTCCTCTGGGTCCTAGTCATGTGCTCACCCCCACCATCACCTCCTTGATAGCCATGGGGAACCTTCTGTTGCTCTTCTGGTTGTGACCCTGGCTTGTTTCCACGGCTCTGCTTCTGCCCCTGTAAGCCCTTGTTGCTTCAAAGCCTTGGAATTCATGGCCAAACCCAGGCTCCCAAGCGGAGCAGAGATGTGTCTCAGAGGTGCGGTAGGGGAATGAAGAGGCAGGGGTCCTTGCTCTGTACAGGAAAGGGAGGCCAGGGCTAGGCAGGAAAGGTTCTTTGCAGGTTCCCCAGCCTCTCAGCCTGCAGGCATAGGCTAGTCACCAGAGAACAAACATCAGAGCCAAACTGGAGAACACTCTGGGGTTGCTTCCGTAAAGCCCCTCAGCCTACCCCTCTGGGAGTGTCTTAGAACCCTATATCTCCTCTGAAGACTTACAGATAGTCCAAGGCTGTGGCCCTCACATCAGAGACTTCCCACGTCCTCTTCACCAGGGGGCCACTTGGATGCTTGGGGTGTGGGGAGGGAGCAGTCCTCAAGTCTCAGACTCCACAGCCCCCCACCCCTGCCTGGCTTTGGTAAGCCCCTCGCTGGCCCTCAGCCCAACTGGTTCGTGGTTCATGCTTGCTTGCAAGACTCCTTCACTCTGTAATGTTCCCCAAAGCTTGCAAGGGCCCCCAGCACTTGAATTCCACATCCTCTCTCTTCCTCCCACTTCTCCGATTCAACTGTCAAATGGTGACACGGAAAAAGAACTGCACACAGGGGTGGCACCTGAGAGGATGGGGGTGGGGTGGAGTGGGGGAGCTGCCCTTCTTCTGGCCCATGGGGAGGAAGGCAGGACCAGGATGAGCCTTTGAAGTCAGAGGGCTTGGGGCACTTGTCTTTGTTCTTGGGTGCAAGTAAGTCAGAGAGGGTGGCTCTCCAGGGCCTCTCCATGGGTGCTTGATTCTGGCTCCCTCTTCATTGTAACCCACTCTCCCGTGAGGAATAGGTGGGATTTCCTGGGGACGAAGCTCAGTAGAGCTGGGGAGTGGTTGGCCCTGGTGACAGAAGCAGGAGCCTGGGAATCCTTGCACACTTGTGCACAGGGAAGAGGCTGGACTCTGCCTGGACCTCCCCACAGGAGTGTTTGTGCTGGCAGATAGTGGGGGGAGTGGGAGATAGTGGAGGGTGTGGAAAGAGGGCCACCCGCCCTGGGCCAGCTGTTGATTGTGATCAAGAAAAGGAAGTGAGGATACCACAGGGGCGGGGAGAAGGAAGTAGGCAAAGCCCTCCCCCACAGGTCTGCCCAGTGTCCTCAGTTCACAGTGTTAGACTGCTGGCTCTGAGTACACACACCTCTTGGTCCCCACAGTGAGGGCTCAGTGGGGTTCAAGAAGTTGGAAGATGAGCTCTTAGGTAAAGAGCAAAGGAAGCTGGGAGATGGGGAAGGAAGTTGGTGGGGCGAGAGTCAATCTAGGCATGAAACAAGACCCTGAGGCTCTCTCTCCTGGTCTCTGGATGGCTTTTCACTTTCCTGGCCACTCCTTGTATCTGTTCTGCAGAACCTTCCTGTTCCTGGAGGTGTGTGTGTGTGTGTGTGTGTGTGTGTGTGTTTGTGTGTGTGTATGACATCGTTCATGTTGCTGATTGGGAATTAGGTTCCAGTACCTTCAACTTAAGAGAATGTAAAGTCCTACCTGGAAGCCAGAAGGACCTGCCTGATGAGCAGACCGATGCTTAGTGGTCATGTGACCAAGTTACTACCGCTCACATTCCCTTCTTCTTGTCAGGAAGATGGAACAAACCCTGTGAAGCACTTTGTCCCCAGCCTCAGAGCTTGGAATCACAGAGAGGAGAAGTCTGGGACTGAGAGCTAGGGAGCCCCACCTGGTGGTGGAAGTGGAAGCGAGGCTGAGTCTGTCTGTCTGTCTGTCTGTTTGTCTGTCTAGGCTCTCCATTTCTCCCCTTCCTTTTCCAGTCAGCCATCATCCTTTCTGGGAAGTTCCACTCAAGCAATGGAGAGATTCTAGGAGTTACTCCCAGCAGCCCAGCATGGGCAAAGTCCCTCATTTCAGAATGGGCAGAGAATAGTGGCCATGCCTAGACCCAGCCCAGAGGTGGAGAGGAGCCATGGCAGGGGAAGGTCTTACCCACTCGGAGTCTAACGTGTGGTCCTGTGGCTAGCCTAAGATTTCTCCCTTCCCTGCCTCTCTCCCCTTGATGCCGGGCCTTCCTCTCACCATTTCCATCCCAGGGGCCATGAGCCACAACTCCTGTTGCCAGTGCTCCTGAAGTCCCCAGAAGCCCTTGTGCCCTGTGGCTCCTGGGGAACCAGATAGCTGTGGGTCCCAAAAGGCTAAAGCTGCCACCCTGTAACATTCTAGGATGCTCTGGGTGGATACAGAAGAGACGAGAAGCCCCAGGATGGGAGGTGGCTGTTCCTGACTGCCTCCATCCTCAAATATTGAGGCAGCTCTTCGTTCTCATCCCTGCAAGCCCAGGCTCGTCCTTGGTAGTGTGGGGGAGGCAGAGCTTACCAAGGAGGAGTCAGGGTGAGTGGGGTAGAGACGTGCTGTGAAGCCCTGGCATGAAGGCTGAGGTACCCCAGCATGCCCTAGGCAGCACCTCTGTGACGGCTGTCCCAGGGGCTCCTTCTTGACCCAGTTTTCCTCCTGCTACCTTTTTGGTGCCTGCAGGTGTTAGGACTTTCCCATACTCCTCATCACTGGTGGAGAGGACCAATGGCTCATGCCAGCTCAGCATGGAACCATGGTTACCTTTCCTAGAGAGCCAGGAAATAGTCCCGCTCTGTCTATACCTAATGCTGAGCTCAGTGCCCCAGGACAGTGACTTCAAACTGAAGGAGATTCTCCCTCTTTCTCCCAAGTCCAGAGCTATAGGGATGGACACTTGTCCCATAATGGCCCTTCCCCACAGGGACCCTTTATGTCCTTCCCACTGTGCTGTCATTGATGCTGGCTTATGCATGCAGTTAGCCCCCCCACACAGCATATTACTGGCAGCCCCCTCCAGCCCCTTGCTGAGGTCTCTCAGCCTGCTCAGTAGAAGCTGGACCTTCTCCCTTTCCTAGTGACCTTCCCCAGTTTGTGGGAGGAAGAGGAGGTGACTTGTTCTCTTCTGCCTGGTAATTATCTTCCTTTAGTGTGGGGGATGCTCAAGGCCTGGCTTCAGGCTGTGGGAGAGCAGAGGAGGAGCTGGAAGAACAGCCTACAACAGCTGCCAAGGAGGGACCAGACTAGTTTGCACTTGGAAGTTGGGATGCCAGGACCAGCTCTCTGCCTTCCTCTACCTTCCTCGGCCTCCTGGTCAGCTCATTTCACACTGAGATGGTAGGCTTCAAGATCTTGGGGTTTTCTAGGCAGAGGATGTGGGTTTGTCTGTGGGGGTGGCTTCTGGGGGGAAAGTACATTTTTTGCTGAATAGAGAATCTTGGCCTGGGCATGAGGATTGGGGGGTGCTTTCTTAACCCCTTCTGAGTCTATCTCCCATCCCCAAGGCTGCTCTAACAGGGTAAGGCTAGTAGCAGGGTCTTCTACGACCTAAAACCTCCCCAAGGCCGGGTCCATAGGACTAGCCACAAAGCATGTTCTGTCCCCACAGGCCTCTCTCTTAGTGACTTTGGGATACCAATCCTTTACTCCCCGCCCCATGCACTCTGTGTCTCTTCTATGCAGACTCTGAAGTAAGATGCTCTGCCCATCTTGGCTGCTCACAGAGACTCTGCTAGAAGACACAGAGTGAAGTGTCCCCAGGTGAGATGGACCTGTCCCCTACACCTTGGCCAGACTGAGGCCTGAGACACCCCTACCACCACCCCACCCCCGCTTTCTCTGGTTGCTAGCCCCACTCCCTGCCTCTTTCAGAAGTGTCCTCTGCATGTATACACACACACACTCACTTACACACATTCATACATGCACACAGCCTGGAAAATTTGATGAGTCTGCAGTGCTAAGTTTCCAGGACCCCATCCAGGCCGGTGGGTGGCTCTGAGGTTTGGGGCTGGACGGAGCTGTGGTAGGGGGTGGGGCGGGCAGCAGCCCCTGGTGCTGGGCAGAGGGAGGAGGCAGGCAGAGCTGCTTTCTGATGCAGGCCTGAGCTATTTGCTGAAGCAGGCTAGGAAGAGTCTGCCTTGGTGTTCAGAGTCTATAACTCTCTGTCTGTCTGTCTGCACAGCCTCTCACCCCCCTCCTGAGTTTGCTGAGTTCTGGGCTTCTTTCCCAAGGCTCAGAGCCTTTGACTCTGCTCCTTCCCTTCCCACGGCTGAGTTGGCACAGGAGCACCTGGGGAGCTGCGCCAGGTGAGCAGCTGGCTGTGGGTGGGTACAGCAGAGCCTGAACTCTTATGATGTCGGCCAGGCCCCAGCTGGGTCTCTGCAGTGTCTGAGGGTTAGGAGAGGGTGGGGAGCCAGGTGGGTCCTGCTGACTGAAGAGAAGAAGTAAGGAGTGGGGAGAAAACCCCCAGGATGTCAATCACTCCCAGAAGCTTCCACACACAGAGGAACTGGGGATGGGAGCACCTTTTGCTTTCTCTGCTTGATGGAGTCAGAAGCCCTGGGTTCACGTCCAGCTTCGTTCCTCACACACACCCATGTGTGTATGTGGACCTAAGGCTGGACCCTCTGGATGTTAACTTCCTCATCTGAGCAGTGAGGTGTGAGAGATGGGTTCCAGGGGCCAGGCAAGCTCTATGCCCCCATGATGTGCTTCTGTGCCGGTGACGACTGGAGTAGGTTAGGCAAAGGGGTGACAGGGACCTGGCTCACCCATCTCATGTATTCAAGATGCCACCCTCATGCCTGCCTTGAAACCTCACCCCTGGAAACACTAACACTATCTCTCAGGAAGGCACAGGGGAAGGGACCAATGGATACCTAGCCCTATTCTAGAGACAGTGTGGGGTATCAGGCACTTCTGCTCTGTGTATTTATTTGCAAGGCCCCAGCAAGTCTTCCCCAAGAGCACAGGGCAGTTTTTCTTCTGGGAGAGCTGACTGCTGACAGCCAGCGGAGGAGAGAGAAGTGGAGGAAGGAGGTGGGCTTGTGGACCGCCTGAGAGTAGCAGTTCCCTTAGGGCCAGATGCTGTTTCTCTTCTACCTCTCAGCCCAGAGCAGGCTGGGCTGGGGTCAGGATCTGCTGCCTATCTGAAGGTCCACTCTTCCCACCCTCGCCTGCCTGCCAGCCACCAGGGTAAGGGGAGAGTAAGGGGGCCTAGTTCTGCTTCCCAATTTTGCCTCTGCAGACTTTATCAGGATGAGGCCCCTGATTCTGTTAGCTGTCCTCCTCTGGCTCCAGGGCTTTTTGGCCGAGGTAAGGTGGGCATGGGGCAGGGTGGGGTGGATGAGCCTGTTCTCTGGGGCATGTCTAGGCGTCCCACCTCTCTATGGGGCTCCACAGCTGGTCTTCATTATGGAAGAGGGAAACCACTCCCTTCCCACCCAGGCCAGCACAGAAGCCAGGAGGACAGATCGTTCCAGCCTTCCAGGCTGCTGGCTACTGC